AAGATATTAGAAAATTAGCAATTGTTTTTATTTTATTTTTTAATTATAATTTTCTTTTATTTTGAGGAGTGAAAACAAGAACAAGAAAAACAAAACTAAAGACAGAAACAGGGTAACATGTAACAATACATACATTACTTGTTTTAAAACAAGAATAGCTGATTAACAGGGATTGAGTTTCATCCCCCGGCCTGCCCTGTGGGCCCCGCCCCTGGAGCATGCTGAGATGGCAGTTGAAACTGGGCATGGTGGCCTGTGCCTGTAATCCCAGCTCTCGGGAGGCTGTAAACAGGCAGATCACAGTGAGTCCAATCTAGTACTGAGAACCTGAACACCCTGTAGACCCTTCCCTAAAGTACAAAAAAAGGTGATTGATATATTATCTATTTTTATCATTAAATCTACTGCTCAGATTAACAGATATAGTTATGAAAGATGGGACATATGATTAAAAATACCACATGTTTTCAAGAAATCTTAAATTTTTTTAAAAAGGTAATAAAACATAGTGAAAGTCAAGACCAATTGTTATTATATTGAATATTGTTATCTTCAAAGTAGTTTCTCAGGTTAGAAGACAGGCATGCAAAACTGGTCAAACTATATAAGTACAAACTGTTCCTTTCAATTAACTAATAGAAATTAGTAGCATAATTATCTTAGCTACCATATATATGATTTTTATATATTATATATGTACATATTTATGTTTCTGTGTATATATTTATATAATTTTATTTTTTATTTTTTTCCTCCTTTATTTCCCTCACGCCACTTCATTTCATTTTGAGCAGTTTTGTTCCCTTAACAATATCTACTGTACACTTTGTTTTGCTTTTTTTTTGTTTTTTTGTTTTGCTTTGTTGTGGTACTGAGAATCACACATAGAGTCTTGCACTTGTCAGGCAGGTGCTGTGCCACTGAGCTATATCCCCATCATCTATTGTACATCTGGATCTTGGATTTTCTTTACTCTTTCAGTTTCCTATGCTAGGGAGATATTGCAATGTTTATACATCCAAGTCTGACTCATTTCACTTTTAACTATGGTCTTCAGTTGCATTCATTTATCTCTAAAAGCCATGAGTCTATCATTCTTTGTAGATAAGTAGTACTGCATTTTATAGAAATACCAGAACATTTTTATCCATTCCTCAATTGTTGAGCATTTGAGTTGTTTCCAAAATTTGGCTATTACACATTGTACTGCCATAAACATGGATGTACTTATATTGCTGTGGTATGATGTTTTTAATTCTTCTGGGAAAATACCCAAAAGGGAAATAACTGGGTTTAATGGGTCTCTAATCCTCATTTTTTAAGGAATTTCCACACTGATTGAATTCTGGGGGGTGGGGGGGTCTTCTTTTAAAATAAGAAAAAATAATAATAACCTAACAATGTCCTTGATGTTCCTAGAAATAAAAGCATAATCCAAACTCAAAACTAGAAGAAAAAGTATGAAGATCAAAGTATAATTCAGTGAACTTGATATGATTAAAAAAGGAAACAACAATAAATCAAGGAATGAGCTCTTTTAAAGCATGACCAATATAGATAACACAATCAAGGACAAATGAAAAAGATGAAGTCACAAAGAACACTGCTAAAATACACAATATTATTAACAACTACTACACAAATATATACACCATTAAACTGTAATATTCAGAAGAAATGAATGGATTCCTAGGTATTTCTAAATTCTCAAAATTGAAGAAAGAAGACTTAAAAACACTGAATTAGCAAATAACAGACAATGAAATTTAAGCAGCAGTGAAAAACGTATCAATGAATAAATGCTGAAGTCTGAATGAGATCATTAAGCCTTAACAGTATTACCCCTCAATAACTTTTGAATAAAATTAAAAGGACACAATACTCCCAAAGACACTCCTGAAAACTATGACTAATCTGATTGCAAACCAGATGAGGAAACAAACAAATAGTGAATGATAGATCAATTTCATTGATTAATATGGACACAAATATCCTCACATAATTACTGGAAATAAATTCAGCTAATCATCAAAACAATCATAGATCATGAACAAGTTGACCTCATCACGAAAACTCAAGGGTGTTTCAACACATGCATGTCAATTAGGTTTTTGTGGTATGGATATTCAGACACAAGGCATCCTTGGTGCCACAAGTCCAGAACTTCAGAATGCATGGTTAAAGAATAAAAGACAGCCTACAGAGCCTCAGTCTAAGGTAGGGTCAAGACCCACTGCATTAAGAAACATAGACTCTTGCCTTCATTCTTCCTAAACTTTGATTACTAACTTATAGTAGCCCTGAGGATCAGTTATGCCATTAACAGACCACCCTGTGCTTCTCCTGTCCCATATTGGAACTCCTTTTGTCCTTTATAATTGTCCTGCTTCTATCAATAAAAAATAATCATAGAAGGTTCTCATCAGGGTTGATTTTTCTTGAGAT